TACGCTCCTCAGACTTATAAGAATGTATGGTGGATGTTCGGCGAGATACGACGCGAGTATTGGGTGTTCTGTTTCAACATCAAACACAATCCGACCGCTAAATTACACTGAAATTCGACGCATGGTTATTGTTTATGGAGAGTTCATAAATGACGATCGCATGTGCGATTAGGCGGTTAGGCTAGTAAGCGAATAGGCGATCAGGCAATCAGGTGGTGAAGACTACATACGTATTGATTGATTTGCTTCACCCTTAGAGCGTTGTGGGCGAGGAGGCGATTGGGCAATGGGCGAGTAGGCAATTAGGCGATCGCCCAGTGGGCGGAGCAACAAATCAATACGTACCCTCCTCTTATCGCCTACTCGGCTACTCGCTTACTGATCGATTCGTATACTTTTTATTTTGAATAATCGCCTAATCGCCTAATCGCACGTACGATCGCCAACCATGAACGCTCCATTGCAGGCACCACTTTGGCTCCGCACTCCTGCGCCTATGAAAGGTGAGCTCCGCAAAGATGGGCAGCCTATGGAACGGTCACATTTTACGAAGCAACTCAATGTTCAGAGGTGCACTTAACGCTTTTTAGCTAAGTCTTTCGTTTCATGCGTGCTGTAGCCTGCGGAGCTAAACTAATCTCGAAAACAATATGGTGACATTGACATTTGTAATGTGACGTGAGTGTTTCTAAGGCCTGTCACGAAGGCCTGTCGCCTGCATTCGGATGTCCGCGGTCAACTCAGCTCGCGCCTTGATCGAAATCGATTGACATTGGTATAGGGGGTAGTGAACGTCTAAGCGAGAGGAAGAACCAAACATATTTTTATGTGATTCCTTACCACTTCCGTCTGCGAACGGGAAAACCTACAGACGTCATACATGAAATCGAGACAGCAAAAGATCTCATATAATGGAAGGTTACTGCTCCCCAACATCTTGTCAGTATTGCTAAGTTGTTACAATTGTATTACTTTTTTTTAGCTAGCATTCACCGTCGCTGTGATGCATGTTACAGAATTCGTTCCAGCACAGAGGCACCTGATGCAGAATATATAGTCCCATCCATGGACACCGGCATTTCCCAATATATGGTCCCTTCTGCATATGCGGTTGCCTACGAGTGCGGCCAGTGAGTTGATAATGTTATCTTTCTATCAAGGCATCATCATAGCTTCGCCTCAACTGTTGCTGTTAAAGCCACTAATTTGCTTTCTCAAAGTTTTGTTTGGGTTTCTTCTCAAAAATACACAGTTCATCTCCGCGCGCAACCGCGCGCGATCACATCTTGGGATTCAGTGAGACTGGGACCTGCAGAATATTGAGCCCGGCTAGAGAACCAATCCTACTTACTATAAAGCGCTTCGTCTGTCGTCTGTCGTCTGTCGTTCTGTTTGTCTGTCACAAATCCCCTAGCTCTTCGGGATCCACCTGGAGGACCGGGTCAAGTGTGGGATGGTTGCGCAAGTCTTCACGAAGTACAAAACACACATCAGCGAGGCGGAGCCCCGCAAACAGGGGGCGTGGCGTGCGTCGAAATGAATTGTACCGAAGACCAAGATTTCGATTTCAGTGACAAAACGACCTCGAAACTGGCCAAAAAGTGGGTAAAGGTGGGCATTGGTAAGTCACATCGAATTAGGGAGACCACCCCGGGCGGGGCGTTCTCTAAAAAGCAGTGCTTTATGAAAAACTTCATAACTCGTGGGAGAAAGCCTACAGAGCAGAAAACAATTTGGAGTAAGGAGCAATGTCTGAGGTGTTTCCTGCATACATGACGTGGCGCGAGCCCCGCCAGAATGGGCGGGGCGCGCTCCTGAAGGCATTTTCAACAAGCCCTCATAATTCGGGTCGGAAGTCCTATAAGGCCGGAAAAAGGTGGACAGAGGTGTATGACGGAGCGGAGCCAACTATCATCGGTGGGGGGGGCTTGACCAAAGTGGGCGGAGTTTGCGACGAAAATTCATAACTCGGCTCAAGAAGTCCCGGAGACCGGAAAAAACGTGGATTGAGGTAGATGGAGGAGTGAGCCCACTGTCATCGGTGGACGGAGCGAGTCCTGGGTGGGCGGAGTTACCCAAGAAAATTCATAACTTGGGTTCCAAGAAGTCCTGGAGACGGGAAAAAAGTAGATATAGGTCAGCAAAGAAAGCGAAGTTAACTGCTACGGTTGGGTGGAGCGTGCGCTTATGTGGGTGGAGTTTGCGCCGAAATTGTAATTCGGCTCCAAGAAGTCCCGGAGGCAGTGAAAAGGTGGATGGAGGTGGGTGGAGGAGTGGAGCCCAGCTATCACCGGTGAGCGGGGCTTACCAAAGTAGGTGGAGTTTGCGACGAAAATTCAGAACTCGGCTCCAAGACCTAGAGATAGGGAAAACGGGGTTAGAGGTTGGCGAGGGAAAAGAGATCAGCTGCTTCCAAGAGTTCCCAGAGACCGGTGAAAAAAGAGGTAGAGGTCGGCGAAAGGAAGGGGGCCAAATGATATTCGTGGGCGGAGCACGCACCGAAGTAGGCGGAGCTTGCCACGAGATTTATTGTCCGGAAGCAGTCAAGAGGTCGGGAAAAAGAGAATAATGGTTGACGAAGAAAAAGAGGTTGGAAGCCGTCGATGATAGAGCGGATAGAATTTAGCTGAAAATTCAGATATTCGTGGTGTATCAAGCCACATTTGGAAATTTCCGTCGCACCATCAAAATTCGCCACAGATCTGTGTTGCGCGCGCAATGCGTGCGGCGCCAACTGGTATGTAATAAGATGTCCTGGAAGATGCGTCAGACGAAGCCCGCAGGTTGTTCAATTGCGCCTATGATTACCGCGTAGTAGCATGCGGAATGAAGCTGGCACTTATCATGACTTTGTAAACATTGAGCATTGATATCGAGCTTGGATAATTTAGCTGCAACTTTCACAATTCGAGCATCGGTACGGAATGAAATATGACCGCTCAATCAGCATCTAACCTAGCTCTGCGGGAACTGCCACTGGTCCGGTCCAGATTGTTGAGCGCTAAAGTTGCTTTGCTTTTTGTGGTGAAAGTTAAGAATGGGACATGCTCACGTGCTAAAAACCTGGTTCAGTCCAGCTGAGTGCACGCTCAAGTGTTGCTGCTTATACTATCAGTACAGTTGCAGCTAATTACCACTTCCTGCCACCTGCCATCAACACCTCGCCATCTCGATCGCTTGCCTTGCCGGGGGTAATTGTAGCGAAGTTGGAGGTATTTGTATTCTACCAGCTCCTGAACATTCCTTGTCTTTATCAGTCCATACCGCTCATCGTCGATGTCCTCGTCTGCCTCCCCCATGCAACGTGTAGTAGTCAAAGGAATCTTGCGCGGAAAAATCATGATTCTATTTCAGCCATGAATCACTGGCTTGAGACTCATTATCCACGATAATAGTGAAAAGAACTGAAGTATTCGTTTTGATTAGAAATTTGAAAACTCGAAAAGGCTGCTAGGCGTTCGAAGCCCACGGACGTCCTTCACTATTGCTGGCGACGGGGATGCTCAAACTTGGTTCTTGGAGTGCATTCACTAGAAGCTCTTTCTGGTCTTCTGCTTCGTTGCATTAACACTTCTACTCCATCCTATTCCATCGATCGATTTGTCTCCAATCTCCGAGATCGCGCGCTTTAACCCGATTCTCTCATTGTGTCGCCTGGTACGTAGCCGGCCAAACGCCGTCTTCTTTCCATGCCTGGCCTGGCTCTGCCTCCTGGTCCTTCAATGGTCCATAACGTGCAGTTTTTGTACGTTTGTTTCTCTTTAGAAATCGAATCTTCATGCATGAAACTTTGTGTGCTATTTCCAGCGATCACAACTGACATATTCATGTTAGGAAAAAGTGCAAGAATTTCCCGCGCAAGATTCCTTTGAGGAGGGTTTCACTGCACCAAGAAGGCTACAGCGAATTTAGTGACACTCAATTCTTACGTTATCGGTCGTTATCACTTTTTGTCAATCCCTATCCGTGTTCCCGTCCGATCCTCTATCCCACATATAAGAGCCAAGGTTCTACCGCCGTCGCGGAGGCTACAACAAAAGCTCTGGTATCCACACTCTAAGCCCTTATCAGTTTTTATCAGTTGCCACCCCTTTTTATTCGCTTTCTTGGTCCCCGGCTCACCATACATGAAATACTTGAGTGCCAACATGTTACTGTCAATGTGGATGGTATAACGAAAATGGCGGCATTGACATTCCGACGCGTTATCAGCTCTTATCACTTACTACACACTGTTTGGGCCCTCGTTCCACGCCAACTACATACTTCTTAATGAGTGAAACTCTCCACTGAAAACGCGAACGGCGTAACGAAATCGGAAATCGGAAATATAACATTTCGAGGTACATTATCATCTTCTTCAGTACTTATAACCCCCCGCCAACCATTTTCAGTGTTCACGCCCAACTCCCTATATTGCTCGGAAGTTTGAGCGCTGTGAGATCAAAGGGAGCAAAGTTATGAATTTCTGGTCAAACTACAGACACACACACAACCACTTAGCTGTTTATACAGTCGATTTCCGAAAGATGGGGTGGGTGTGTCACCGGAAATGACGTACATCTGATACAAGTTACGTGGATAAGCTGTTGCCAGCATGCTTGGCTGATATCCAGCGATGTAAGCTGGAAGCAGCTTATCTACATAGCTTCTATCAAATGCACGTCACTTCCGGTGGCACGCCCACCTCAACTTTCGGATATCGAGTATATATAGTAGGATATTCAACCTTTCACGGCTATCCGCCTCTCCACCAAACGATTATTTGATTTTTGAGCTGTACGCCCTCACTAGTTTTCATAGATTCTATGCTCTCCAGTTGCCCGATTCTCATGTATGGGGCCGAATAAGAACGATATGTTACGCGGGCGTCTGTAAGGACCGCAGGTGTGCCATAAAGTAGTCAAACCAGGTCTACATTCTAGATCGACTAGGTTGGTTGCTTGTTTGATCGAAACTAATCGTTCAGTTACGTGCAACAAAGAAATAATTTTAGCAACCGGATATGAATTTCGCTTCCTCCGCTGAGCTGATTGATGCCAGGTGGGACGTGTCTTTGTTACAGTACTCCTCAGCCTTTTCGTATGTAAAACTCTTGTCGGGTGCAACTGTTCTTGCTTTCACCACCTGAAAGTGGCCGCAGTGGAATGAGGAATGTTATTCGCATTTCACAGCTGGGCAAAGCAAATTGAACCATTGTCGACTTACTAAGACCATCGCTTCGTTTTCACTGTCAGGTATTGGGACCCAGCGGCCATCCTTGGCTTTTTCAACAGTTTCAGTATCAATGTCAGCATTGGACATTGAAGCGAAAATCCACAGACTGATGAGCAAACGAAGAACATAGAACTGCCCCTACCATCGTGCTTATATAGCCTTGCTTATCACAGTGTCTGATACCTTTAATCGAATCGTGGAAACACTTGCTTCAATCTATAGAGGCGTGTTTTGTTGGTAATTTGCATGTTAATCCAGGAGAACTAGCTACCTTTTTGTAACTGGTTTTTTAACCTTTTTGTAACTGGTTAACAAATATAAAACGGGAGGAAACAAAACCAAATAATTTTTTGGGAAGAGGTCAAGGGCAAGAAATCTGATGTGATCCTGTCATCTCTTTCACTTCCCTGCGTGAAGGAAATTATACCTACTATTAGCAGTGCTGCATTAGGTGCAGTAAACCGGAAAATGGCGAAGGCTTCAACGCGTTTTATGAGTTGCTTTTGTTGCATTGTCAGCGATGATAAGCTACGTTAAGAAACGTTGCTGAAACCTTCTGCTAGATTGGAGAACACCAATTCACTTACTAAAGCGAAAGATCACGATAAACTGCAAGCAAGTGCAAGCATGGATACATGCACTTGAGGAAGCCTTAGTCAGGGGCCTAAGAAAGCGTGACGTGGCCTTTTCATAGCCAAAGATGCGCTAGTGAAGCGTCCCGCGGCCGCCACTGCTCGCTGGGCTCCGCCTCCGCTGCCTGTGCCCTGCCCATCAGTGTGTCGCTAGCATTAGACCGCCGTCACACTCGGTGACGGACAAGCGATGCTCGATCGATACCGCAGCCGACGGCATCGATTGTGGGCGGGGCCAGTCGCTCGTCGCTTGTGCTCGGCCGAGTGATTGGCAAGCGACGGACAAGCGGTGAAGCGATCGCGTTGCTCCATCGCTTGTACGTCGCCGGGTGTGACGGCGGTCTTTTCGGCATGGTACCCTAGCGCATATACCAACCTTCCCATGGAATAGGTCATCAATCAAAATAGGATCTTTGCTGGTGTGGTAGCGCTATCGGTTCGGTATGTTCAAGTGACCTCTTAGTTGGTTGTTAGCTCTTCGATTATCAAGAGAAAGGTCAAAGAGAAGGGTCCTGTTTTGCGCGTTCGTGAGAGATTTCTTTGCATTTTTCGCCATGGCGCATTATACAGCATCTCCAGTTCCACTGTGAACGCTGTAACAAAAATCACCTACCCACTCATCGTAATCGCTCGCTTCAAGGGTCGTTGTATAATATTTGGCAAAGCTGTCACATGCTACAGGAGTGGCCATTCAGGGTGCCCCCCAACAGGCCCACCGCGCGGCGAAGCAAGAGACGCAGATGCGGCAAAGAGACGAGTTGCAGCGTGTGCTGTGCGATATGAGACGTAGTATGGTTCACTCTCTTTTCCCTGACGCCCAACCGCTACAGTATGCGCTGCTACTCGTCCCACTGCCGCGTCTGCGTCTCTTGCTTCGCCGCGTGGTGCGCCTGTTAGGGGACACCCGGCCATTCATCTACTGTCATTCTCTTACAAAAAATAATCAAAAGGATGAAAGAGGAGTTAGAACTCGGCGTTGATCAGTCTTTATGGATACCACTTATGATAGACCAGATTAGTCCCCCGTCAACCGCCGGGACCTTCCTTTAATGCACAAGCTTTCTATCCTCCGCTATGGTCCCTTCCTCCTGTGACACCAACACCTCCTGGAAGTGAAGCGTATGCAACACATTGGTGTTTCATACAGTAGAAGGGACACAATCATGATATGACGGTAGATTTTTCGCTTCCCTTCCTCATCCTCCCTTCCTCTCTCCACTGCCCTCCAGCTGCCACTCCAGCCATGTGGAATGACCGGAAGTGTGCTAAGCAGGTGTTTATATAGCCCTAAGAGTGTTATCACAACTATTCTGCTACAAAACATTGATATCTCAAATCCTGTAAGCTATGTTAGCGGTTTGTTTATCCCATGAAGCTTCCTATCCACGTCACTTCATTTTGCGGACGGACACCACATACATACCACACACACATACAGACATACAAAACCGACACACAAATTAAGCGCTTTATATAATATGACAGATAAGCCCGCTCCTAATGGGCACGCAAGTATTAAGCTGCGAGCGGGGGGGGGGGGGGGGAGATCTTCAATATTTGGATTGCTATTTCTAAGAGAGGCAGGCGTAGCCTTGTGTTGTGAAACATGTAATAATTGTACTCCAGAAAGGAGCGTCGGCGTTGCGGGCATTGTACGTGACTGCGGGCAAGAACATTCGTAATTCCGCTATTTCTATGCTCGCCCTGGTCTAAACGCCTTTCCCAATTCTTTTATCCGCCGCTTACGAATGCATTTTGCGTATCATAGGTGATAGCGAAAACTGTGGATGCTATAACAATTGTTCATGAAATGAAGGGTCTTAGACTTATGAAGACACGCTATATAGATCAAACAGCCATTGTACGTGTACTCCTCTGTGGTTGCAGAACTCTATCGCTAAACAATAATAGCTCAGACGCATTGCTTCTCCTTTCTTCCCATCGCGTGGGACATATTCTGTTCAACCTCTCTGCGGAAGTCACAGCTCAAAGCAATAGTCCCACCAGGGTGAAATTATCAGTCGAGAAATCCCGACAAGGGGCTTCGGTACTGATTGGGCTGAGTCCAGAGGGTCTACTGCTTGGGGCGCAGTAACAGAATTGGTATCGATGGTGGCAGCATCAGGTAATTGAGGTAATAGGCGCAGCCAGAAAAAGAAACACATCTTCGAAAAAAAAACATGATATAAATTTTCTTTGCAGGTCAGTCGCCCATTCTGCCACCTGTTCATGAGAAGGGGTATTTGACAGGCAAGTACAGAAGAATGAAAGCTGATCCCCGCTAAAGAAGGTGCCACATTGCGCACGAGCTGCAAAGGCAACCTCCTCCCCTATCACTCGCTCCTTCTCCCTTAATTACCATTGCTGAGAATGAGCGCTGTTTTAGGACCGTCGGAAAAACGACAACCTGTGGACTTGAAGAAAAAGCGCTGGGTAAATGAAGTTGTTTATTTAGCTTACAGGATTAGCCAACAACTCACTTGTCTACTACAACACAGTTCAGTTCGAAGGTCCCCATCATATAACACCTTTCCAATCGAATTTGCAAACTGCTGAGTGGGAGGAGGGATGCATCGCTTAAGTACCAACATCGGATGAATACGATTGCTCCTATTCTTATCGTGTGCGTTCAAAGATATGTTCGAGCCATTTTCCGATGGTGACCAACGAGTCACCCACTTGCAAATGGTGATGAGGGACCGGTAAAAAAGGGGGCCGGATCCGTACACTCGATGATCCTCGACGCAATTAGTCTCTTCGCAACTCACCAAAGCTGGCAAAAGAAAGACGTAAACAGACCAATCAGGAAGCGCAAACCTTCCTGGACTTTCCAAACTATCTTCCCTTTCAAAGATCTTACAATAAAGACGTTAATTGCCTTCTAGAAGTGGCAAAAAAATCGCGTGAAAATTGGGCCTCCTCGACATTAACTCAGACAAAATTGAGCAGACCTATCTTTCTGCAGAGCGAAGGCTTCCCAGATGCAATTTTCGATGCTTGCGGAAACGCGAATCCAGCCTCTATTCTACCTCTAACTCTCAAGCTGCTTCAAAGGCTTGTAAAAAATGGAGAAATGCAACCTTTTCATCGAAGGGTGTAGATTCGCAACGTTGTTTTTTTTGAAATTCCGGTCAATCTGACACCAGTTGACTAATCGCGCCGCAGCTAGCGGTTGAATCGAGCTTCGATACCACTCGGCTGTTTTGATATACTCAAGCAAAATCAAGATTGAATCCGCACCCCGGTTGCTTCCAGGAATTCTGGCCACCGTTTCATGAACCGAACCTCGCCTTGAGGTCACACAAAGTTAATGCCTCTTCCTTCAAGTCGATATGATCAGTTGTACATCAAAAGTAGTGCAGCGATGGAAGACTGCATAGATGACAAGATGAAGCGTCCTTCCATAGTATTTGCAGAATTTTTCTTAGATTGTTTGTCAGGCGTTTATTTTAATGAATTGATTTGCTCTGTAGAGGGGGTCGTGCCAGATCTCTGATTTCGGGGCTGGGTCGTACGCTCTGCGAACACGTTACTCGACACGCTTTTCACCCGGTCCCAGCAGGTGGGCGTGGTCGAATCCGTTCTGCAATCCCCTCGGCCACAATTTCAAATCTACGCCCCACTTCGAAATCTCCTTCAGTTCCCTTCACTGAACCGCAAAATCGGAAGCCGCTATGAAGGGAAACTGAGTGAAAAGCTTTCGAGTGGGCGTCGGTCGTATCGCACTTAGGATTGCAGCGATTCCAATCCACGCCAACCCCTTGCGACTCGTTGCATTAAAGACGAATTCACGATGAAAAGGCACCCCATTCAAATAAACCTAGGAATGGGGATGGTACCGAAAGAGGTAAGAACCATGAGAAACGCCCAGAACCCGAGAAATGGACTCTCCTTCCTGTGCCCTTCATGTTGTGCTTTGATTGCGACTCTCATCGCTGTCCGCTTCACACTTAACCTCTCTCAGTTCTATCTAATCACTCGCAGCAATATTGAACACGGCGAGTGATAGTGCTGGTGCGGGCCGCGCCACGCCAGCTTTAGGTCATCGTATAATGCCAGCGTCATTTCTTACTCACTTCCACCTCAGGAGGTCCGGTCCCAACTCATTCCTTCTCTTCGACCGCGTCATCTTAATCGGAAATCCTCCCATTAACGCTGCCCAGTTTAACCACATTCTGCTAAGTGCCGCGCCAAAAAAAGCTGTCACCTCTTGTGATTCATTATGAGTTTGCTATCTTTTTTAGGACCGCTAGTTAACTCTCTTTCAATCCCATTATGTCGCCGTCCTACATATCTGGTGGTGGTTTGAGGAATTGACTTTGTCCGTAATCCACACTTGAATACACAGAGTCGCTGTCAAGCCTGTCTTCGCAAAAACACTTCTAACTGAAACTCAGCAAACAAGCTGCCTCGCCATCTGCACTTACCGTAAACCCGCGCTGATAGAACGGCGAGGTAATGGACTGAAGCGCAGTTGTGTGGCCAGTGGAAAGGTTATTACCTTTTTGCTCGGGCCTCTTGGTTGTTAACTGAATACGCATGCCATGGTAGGCTGTTTCGCTGACTACGTCTCGCTCCCTCTTCCGGAAATATGTACACGGGGTGGTGAGGCAAAAAAGAAGGGTCACTTTGCTCATGGCGCACATCATCAACTTTTTCTTCGCACAGGATACCGTTGTTAGTGGATGTTTTTCGGCAGAATTCTCCTTTAATGTCCGCCCTGAAGCAGGAGCAGGCCTCCTACACTGCCCCCACCATGTTCGGAATACGACGTCATCCACCATGACCGTCGAATTCAACGAGACCTCCCGTCTTCAGCCTGAAGCTGCTACATGATTTCTCCAATTGATCAACTACTGAAACATAGCTTTTCAGAGAAACTAGCGGTGAATATGCAAGACCGCTTTTGACCAGCGTTTCAGGTAGTAATAGCCTATGATACCTCGATGACCTCGTTGAACTCGTACCGTGCACCATTGCCATTGAAAATCTTCCGATGTTGTCGATGCAGAAGGCTGATGTGTGAATTTTTTGATAGATGGGAATGTGCAACTCCCTTTTGAATGTGAAAGTATGTGCCTTATTTTTTTGGCAGTCCCTGTGTATAAGTATTTCATCAGTTGTGGGCTATTTGTGAATTTAGTTGGTGCCATGCATCTGGCATTACAAAATACGAACTAATATTCATATGTTGTTTTTTGCTTTCAATATCGCATACGTGTGCGAGAGACGTGAACGGCTTCTCTCGGTGGCCATAGTGATCACGTCAAACGGCAAAGTGCTTCTCTGTGCCGAAAGAAGCTTGTCTTTCGCTAAATATTTCCTGCCAGCAAGTGAGCTGTCCCTGCTGGTGTCGGAATTGACCAGCCTTTTCTGACCCTTAACCACCAATGGCTGTACTGCATCTGCAACGTCTATTTAAACGGGTCCTATCATTTTCTGTGCTGATTTTCGCGTTTTATTCGATTTATGTCACACTACTTTTCGCCAAATCAAAGCTAAAGGTGATTTTTCTTTTAAATCATTAATGCCCACTTGCCAATGGAAATTCCTACTGGTAAACGGCAGTAGCGCCCAAACGTTTTCGTCGGAACGCTTTTTTCGACTGCAGCGTTTTTTCTGATAGGTTATGAGGCAAGAGTCGAGATCGGATTGCTGTTTATTTTGTTCGAGATTAGACAAGAAAGTGCAATGAGGAACATCAGTGGGCAGAAAATCTAAAAGCACCATAGAGAAGACTTAATTTTCTCTATGGAACCGGCCGTGGTAGGATAGAAACTCAACGCTGTGAGAAGAGGGGAATGCGAGATAGTACGTCGTAAGCTGGAGGGCGCAGAGGCTACGTTTGCCGTGGATGATAACGATGACAGCTTGGCAGCACACAAGGCAAGGCCTTAGCGCCGTTGCCTCGTACTTTCGATGTCATAGCTCCTGCCATTGGGGACCCCTCTTTCTCACTCTAGAATGGTCCTGCTGTTGGGACCTAATCCCGACTTGTGGCTTTGAAATACTACATATGCTATTATAGTTGGCATGCTCATCGATACTGCAAACAACGCTCACTATTTCAAAGAGTCGATGAATTATTTACTGAAATCAAACGACTGATGATACGTCTACATTGCTCAAACCTTTGACCACAATGGTACCCACCGGTTGGTGCCACTCTGTCCGCCGCGTATGACAATGTCATCCACGGTGGGTGCCACCTCAAAGGCAAAGGTCGGGATTAGTTGACCAAACCAACCTTTTCGGTCATGCCTGTACTTGGTCACGCACCTATAAAGATGTTCCCACACTCAAAACCCGAAACGGCGCAGTAAGAAGGCTCCAGGGCATGTACTATGCGCTATTGCCGCCTGGCCCCGCTACGACCGCCCACCTTGGGATGTGGTGCATGGCTGGCATAACGTGTGAAAGCTAGGTTGATTGCCGTATCAACCGATAGAACGATTGATATCTTCACAGAACTTGTTTGTACGTGCCTCTTCCCCAAGACGGCCTCCTTCATTGCAAGTGGGAAAGAGGGTTTTGTTAACGGCCTTGTCGACGGTTTTTCTCAGTTTTTTCTCCACTGTCGTTCTACTTCGCATCTCGTACTCAGTTTCAATAGCCATAATACCACTTTATTGAGCCCGACTTTTGCCTTTAAGATTTTCTTCTTCGCTCATTTAGAGCATCCTACTATAGATAATCGGCTGAGTGTGTCTGTTGGTGTGTTTATTTGTGTGCATGTTTGACCGGCAATTCATAGCTCGAGTCACAGTAACGGTAGCGCAGTGGATCTTACATATGTTAGGGAGGTTGGATGGGAACGCAAGTGGTACGTGATAGGAACTGATAACGACCGATAATAGCTGATAAGAGGGGCTAGAAAGCGAGCATCGCCAGTTTCGTTTTATCGGTCATATTGGTACTGGGGCTTCTATACTCAAAGTGTTATGTGGGTTGGTCCCGCGACATTGGTGGTACATGACTGAAAGCGATAACAGCTGGTAAGGGCTGATAAGATCCGTTAGAACGCGAAAGTCATCGATTCCGTTACGTAGCTCGCGTTGACACCAGAGCACCCATACAGTGTTAAGGGGGATGGGACGGGGACATTGTTGGTAAGTGATGGAAAGTGGTTACAACTGATAAAGGCTGATAAGGCGCGTCAGAGCGCACGTCGTTGATACAGTTACGTAGCTTGAGCTGACATAAGGGCGTCCCTACTTACAAATTCGATTTGTGGTGCACATTGTATCATTGTATGACCGGCTTGCTTAATAGCAGTCGATGGCATAAACTCAATCAAGTCTTAAGCAAATGATAAGTTTCATTTCCAATACAATATCAAGAAAGCCCAAACTCATCAAAGACAGCGATTACGATGGATTCTGGAGGAGTTAAGAGGGACGTTGGCGTGCTCAATGGAGCGCAAATGACGAAAATAGCAGAGAAATCTGTTAAGAATACGCAATATAGTACCCCTTGAAAGCTCGTTCATTTTCGATGTTGGATAAGCGGCAACAAAGGCAGAAGTTGTTCAGACGTGTTAGCCCCGATAGCCGCCACCATGCCAACAAGCATAGTGTTTTGATTGATAAAAGCATTACATAGGTAACGATGATACAGCCGCTAATATGGAAATGATCTTCCAAAATGAAATGCTTACAGCAAACGGCTCGCTCAAGTCACCAATTGAACTTGTGGGGCTAACGCTGCTAGGGGCGGATGCTGCGGGGGTCCTGCTCAGCCCACAGCACCTTTCGCAGTGGAAGCGCCACACATCGCTTCTTTGGCAGCCGAGTAATTGCCCTGTGTGGCGCAGGTTCGCCCCCGATGCGAAAATTCTCTATCGTAATCGCTTATTTTGAACCGATAATCCTTTCGAGGTTCTAAATAATGGTGAATGTGAATGAATGATAAGCCTAGCTCCTCACTTTTTTTAAATAAGTATATTTCATTTTCATTTTGGTGCTGACAGCAATCCTATCTACCGGTAAGTTATCTGAATTCAAGAAGAATGTTGGATGTTTACAGAGTTGTGATAAATATTAGGTTGGCAAGATTGAAATGTCGCTTCCGTTTGTGGTTTTGTTTCTCAGCTTAAAGCCGCGAGTCAGGATTAGGTGACCATAGAAGGCCTTTCCATCACTGATATTTCCAGGAATACGGAATCGGAGGGGTGATACCACATTCCTGACTCGAGATTGCGCGCCGTCAAGGCCTCTGGCATACTACTTACAGCGATGGGTTCGTTTCAGCCGCCCACCGGGATGTGGAGCGTGGCTGGCCTAACGTGTGAGATCAGCTAGGTTGATTGCCGTGTCAACCGATGGGATGGCTCGCATATCGGGAAAACTCTTTGGACGTGGCTCTCTCCCAGGCAAGTCTCCTTCACTGCTAGTGGGAGCGGGGGTTTTGTTTTCGGCTGGTTGACGGTTTCTTTGCGTTTTTCTTAACTGTCGTTCCACCTCCCATCTCTACACTCAATTTCAGGCGCCATGACGCCTGAACAAGAGCCTGACTTTTGCCTTCAAACAACCTCTTAGGATGGTTGACCATAAAGCGAAAATAAAACAAGGTTTTGCGTTTCCTACATGCGTCCCTACAATATGCACAAAACTGCTTTCAAAAAGCGCACCTTGCCCTGAAAGATCTCCTTGTAAGAGTCCCAGCAAATGCTTTATCCCTTACCCTCTTCATCACTTAAAGGCAGCCATTGCGATAAATTGAAAAAGGGTTCACTGTGACCACGTGGTGCTCAATGATACGTTAGTGGCGAAAAAAGCAAAGAAATCCGTACAGAAAACGCTAAACGGGCCACCTTCTTTGCCGTTGGTTTTTAGTCATGAACAGGCAACAACTCAAAAGTGGACGTATGCCAAATCACGCTTAAATCAAGTTCCTCCATTTGCGCCGCTGCTGGCCACGCAGCTCGTCCAAATCAACAAGTAAACTAGTGGGCGGAGCGCTTTCGAAGTTCCGCTCAGCAACCAGCGCACCTTTGTCGTGAAAGCGCCACGCATCGCTTTCTTGGCAGCCATGTAACCGCTTCGTGTGTTGCTACGCTTCCCCACGCGCTCTCTCTTTATCGTACAATCGCTTCCTAATACATGGGAGATAGAAAACTAATTTCCGAGTGACCGTGAAGCTCGACCTTCTGAATAGGGCATCCATGTCTGTCTCAAAATGGTGAAAAAGTAGCACGCAGCTTCCTTTGGCTGCTGAGGAATTCATGACAAAAGCGTTATAACGTGCTGTTCTGATGTATTCATAAGCATTCGCGAATAGCTTAGGAATTTTTCAGCTCACCGCTTGTCAATAGGACTGCTAAATAATTGTGCAACACTTAGTTTCCTGTTTCTTCAGTCTCTGCTAACTTGAGATTTATTATGTTTACAACTCCTATTGAGGCAATATAGCGGCTAAGATCACCTTCTTAAAAGCTATGTTTTTCCTGAATTACTTTTCCTAAAGGCATTTCAATTGATCGAAATCGATTGACAGACGGTGCAAAGGGCAGCAGGCGTCTAAGCGAGAGAACAGGCTCAAACACAAGAAAGCATGAGGAGAAGACAATGCATTAAAGAGTAGCCTTCTTGCATTGGTGCATTGCCTGCACTGATGTAAGTTATAAGCCCCCTCCCATGCCTTTGGTACGTTCTGGTCCGTGAACTAGGGTGAAAATCGTGTCGAGGACGTGGTCGCAGCAGTACGACTCCCCAAGAATCGGAGTTCTGACACGATCCCCTAACTATGATTTGATGTGGGTTAGAGTTGGATCACATGTATGTACTTTGAAGTTGCAGTTGCAGCGGGGCTTACCCCTGGGTCAATTTGCTGAAACCCTGCTCAAAACCACTGAAATCTACACCCTCGATGAAAAGTTCCATTCCCAATTTTCATGACCTTTGGAGCAGTACATATGTGGTAGGGTTAGTCAGGGCTAGGCTTGCTTCTATCAGGCGATATTGAAATTGCTCTAAAAGCCTTACACACCAGAGATAGGGTCTCTCGAATTTTGTCAAGTCAGCGTCGAGAACGCCGAAATTTTCATGCGAGTTTTTGCCACTTAAAAGCCAATAGCTCTCTAATTTTGTGAAATCTTGAGAAATGACTCTCCAAGTTCCTTAGTTAGGAGATATTTACGTGGAGGATCTTTGGAGGACGGATTTCGACCGTCTAAAAACCACTCTCTTCTCCACTATTGCAAGTTAATTCTTCGCCACTCTTGAAATGCATCCAAAATACATTCTTTCAATGTAAGCGATGAGAAGAGGGTAAGTCACCGTCCCATTTTCTCTCGATAAGCCATGCATCCGACCTCCACTCAAAGTTGCAGAATTGATTTGAAGGTGTTATATGATGATGTCCTTTTGACAGAAACTGTGTTGTAGTAGACACATTTCGTAACTCCTGTAGAACTTCCTTGGTTCAGAGCCTTTCCTTCACTATAATCGTTTTTGTGGCAGTGTTTCTAACAACAGCGTCGTTCGGCATTAAAGGAGGAATTCACGATTAGAATAGGGTCGAAGAAAGGGAAACTGACCTAGTTGAGGGACCCACGGACCTCTTGAGGGTGCGAACTGACGCGCAATTCGCATGGAAAAATTTGACCTCGGCGACCTATCATGCCTCGAAGTTGGCGGGTTCAGCGATCTCCGCCCACCGATCATCTGATCACTCGCCGCAGGTCTATACGTGGCGAGTGATTAGAGAGCTGAGAGAGCGTAGTGTTGAAGAGGGCACAGCGATGAGAGTCGCATAAATGCTCGAATCAGCGGGCAAGGAAGGGGTCCCATTCCTCGGGTTCTGGGCCGTTTCTCATGGTTCTTCCTTCTTTCGTGTGCCAATCACCATCCCTAGGTTAGATTTGAAATGGGTTGCTTTTTCATCGTGAATTCGTCCTTCAATGCTTCCTTTAAGGAGGGTGAATGGCTATAGATGAGGAAGTTGCCTTGCACATGTGGCACGCCTCCTGCAAATATGCCCTACTGCTTTCAAATACATCCTTCTCATAAAGGTATGTAGAGGAATGGAGCGACTGAACCTGCAAAGAATATTTTGTATCATGTTTTCTCACACATGCTCGTTTTCTGCTCCCACTCCTATATTCACCATGTTGCCACTGATAATACTGTCCCCCACGAGTAACCCCCCATGACCCACCCTGACAAATAGGACTCCCCCGTAGAGGATTTCCTCGTCTGATATTCACCATGCCGTGAACGTGACGTTACCCCTGCCTCGCCCTCAACTCGATCGCGGGAGAGGTAGTTTCAAAAAAAATTAATCGTGGAGTGTGCCTATAACTTACTTGGCTTCATCGGTGAATCTGCCTTGTGCGCCATAAATTCGATCTCAACTCGTATTTATGAACGAATCGATCTCTCTCGAAGAAAGCCTGTTTTGTTCTTGCCAATATTTAACTCGATATGTATACACTCCGCTTCAATACTATACGGCATAGCAGAAATTTTGGCAATTTTTTTACTTCACTAAAATTTTTCCGCACTACTCCACAGTCTTTATAGCACTGTAATGTGGATAGGTAGGCCAGCGATTGGCTATGAGATGCTAGCACCTTCAGGAGCTGATCTGATATATTTTCTACCAGTTGCGTATGCCAGTATGCCCCTTCCTAGATCCGTCTCCGAGTAGCGTCTTTTGCAGGAGATGCACGAAATTGTGTTCTCCCAGGCACGAAGGGAAACTAGGGCAGAAATGCCCCATGGGTTTCCCATCGCATTCAGACATCGCTAACAAGCGGACCATCCGAGTCTATACGGTAGGTTTTAAGGCAAGTTGTAGTTGGCTCAGTAACATGGATGGCAGCGTTGTACTCTGAGAAGTATGCTCATGACGACGACTATGCATCGACGCTAGCACGCGATGGGTTATACTATATAGGTTGTGCAGTATCGTTCCCGAGCTCCTCTCCGGAAATAATATGGTCTTTTTGCTTAAGTCAGTACAAGTGCCATCCATCAGACTGACTAGGTGGAATATTTTCCCTAAAAAATTCCTGTAACACTGAACACCAAATCAGTTGTTCAAGCGCTATGTGATAAGGCACGGATTGCAATCTGTACGAAAAGCTAACAGATCTATAGAATACAATGATGTGCTCTAACACCACCGCTAAGGTCTACAATGCAGAGTCGCCATCATCATGACTTTTTTCAGCAGTACAGCCCTGCCATCCATGTTTACTGAGCCGACTACAACTTGCCTTGAAGCCTAGCATGTAGATTTTCGGATGGTAAACTGGTTAGCGATGTCTAAATCCGTGGAAAACCCTGGGGCATTCCTGCCCTAGTCTTTGCCTGGAAGAATTGACAATACAGTGCTATTAAGACTGTGGGATAGTGTGGAAAAATTTTAGTTAAGTAAAAAAATATGCCAAAGTTCTGCTATGCCGTATAGTATTTTGCTTTTTCATTTTTGGTCCATACTTTTATGGAATTACAAAATTATTTGAAACATTCTCTTTGCGGGTTCTTCCACAAGCTGAATCGAATGGCATTTGCCTCTTTCTGTGTCCTTTAAAGGACGAAATTCACGATTAGGATAAAGGTAGAAGAAGAGCAATTTACCTAGTTGGGAACGCACCGACCCCTAAGGGTGCGGACTGAAGCCATTGGCAAGCCGAAGGAGTTGACTTCGGCGACCTTTCAAGCTCATATTGGAGCTCAATTTCGGCGCGGTGGGTCAGTGCACGCCCACCGATCTTCTGATCACTAGCCGCAGGTCTATACGTGGCGAGTGATCAGATAGGTGAGAGAGCGCGGTATTGAAGAGGGCACAGCGATGATAGTCGCATCAATGCCTAAGGCAACGGGCAAGGAAGGGGTCCCATTTCTCGAGTTCTGGGCCGTTTCTCATGGTTTTTCCTTGTTTATTGTACCACTCACCATCGCTCGGTTAATTTGAAATGGGTTGCTTTTGACAGATCGAGACATGATCGATCGAAGATCGATGACATGCATGTTTGACCGAGGGGAACATTGCTCCCGACTGTATAAATACGCATATCAACTGCTCCACAAAACAGCATGGGTCAAGGAATCGTATATTTATTTAGTTATTATTTATTTATCATTATTATTATTTCTATTACATTTATTACACTATCATTATTATTACTATTATTACAATAATATTTTTATTATGTCGTATTTGACTTCTTAAGGGAGGTCTCGTTCATGGTAGATAGCAGTATTTTGAAGGGTTGGAATCGGAATTTGATTACATTATCAAGAGGTTCAATACTGGACGAAGTGGGGAGAATTTGGAGGTAACGTAGTTGAATGGATGTGAGCGATTTCTTTCTCGTTCGAATATCCCTTTTGTGATGTGCCGTGTCGAGCAACGCGATGCGCCGAAACGAAGGCGCAAATACCACCGCCGAAATAGTTCTGCAGTGCGTGACTATCGCGCGCGGCGCCGCATTTTCGCAGGCGAAATAGTCGATTGGGAAAGAAGTACTCCAAGGCCTGTAGCGAATGGATTTTTTCAGTGGCACCAAATACCCTATGCGCCACCTCTGTCTACTGCGGGAGACGGTCAGGAGTCTCCCCCCCCCCGGACTGTCGTGTCAAAACTAGGTAACCGTGCGCGACGTCGCCGGGGTTTTTGCTGTCAAGGACATGGCAACTTGCCAAGTTAGAACCCGCCTCTCTAGACAATCGATACAACGCTTTTTTGTTCCGTTTGTGTAGGCCTCATTCCTGCAACTATTCAGCTTAGTCCTAGCAAATTGTCAGGTTTCAAACCGCAAGTAGTAGCCGCCGCGTGCGGTGACCTGCTTTCGCTTGCGTGGCGACCTCAGGGAGACTCTTGCCTCACATCCGTTCACTCCTTGTTTCCCGTGAACTGGGGTGTCGCAATTGCGGAATCAGTCATACAAACGGTAATGCTCAATTTTCTCGCTCTTTATGCCAGCCAGTATGTTGCGTAGTCTTATGGCAGTCAGATTACGGGAAGCGAGGTGTATGTTGACGATCTCGTTCCGACAAAATCATGTCTACGATAGAACAATTGAGAAACTTGTTGATTTTTTGCTCATAGCTATAATAGAAGGTCGTTTTTCTGCTCGCACTTTGTTAATGTTACAGAAAGCGCTATGAAAAAAGAACAGCTGAAAAAAGCGGAAAAAATGAACTAAGAAAAAACTCAGCGGGAAATCCCATGATTAATAGGCGACATGACTTTCATTTTGACATGAGATGATACTTTTATTTCGGCCCCAGACCAATGTGTAAGCACAACACTTTTCACCATCAGTCACTCATCACTCAAGTCCCGTTCATACTCCCCAACTTGGGAGATTAGAAGATTAGGCGAGGAAGATATGTATTGATAAGGAAATTGGGATATTCTTCCGATAGGATCAAATACGTAATGATTAATTCACTTGGGGGGTCTCATCTGGTAAGAGGGGGCATTGCGGTGCGCGGTCTGCTCTAATGCCAATTTAACTCAAGGAGTTCTTTGAAGTTACGAGCTGCTATCAGCTTCTTTCCTATGTTATTTCTACGGGTGTTTTGTGTAATGTATGTATTCTTGTACTAGATGACATTAACGTCTACGAGAAGTGAAATTCACCTAGTTAGCAAGTCAGGACTAAGCCTAGGAGGGGGAGGAAGTCCCCCAGGGAAAACCAAGATTGCTCACCGGACCCGGGGACTCCTTCCCTTCTAAGGCTTCACTCTGAACGTCTACAATGAAATAATTTGCTTTCCATGGTTTGAAATGCTTTAGATCGCTATGCCCCCCCCCCTATGGCTAAGACCCCACTTGGGAGAAGATTATGAAATGAGGATGGTAGCAGAAAATTAGGAAATGGACCTGTTAGAGATTAGGATATTGTACTTCAAGGATTAAATAAGCTGTTAGATGGGGGACGCTAAATCTGCTAGTCCCCTGGTCTCCTAATCAATACGTATCCAATCTTCTCAGCTGAGTATTCAATTTCCCAAGCTCCTTATATCCCGAGTAGAGCAACATGAACGTGACCTTATTGTTCGTAGGATTATCATACATGTTCAGCAAACTTGACTAGTCAAAACGTGTACCTTACATCACTACACGTTTTGACTAGTCAACAAACAACGATAGCGTGTTAGTAGAACGCATATTAGTTTACGCTTCAGTTACACTACTTCCGCTTATATTGTGTTCATAGTTGGCGATTTGGGCGATTAAGCGACTAGGCGATGAGTCTATAATGAAAAATAAACGTATAGATCAGGCGATTAGGTGAGTAGGCAAGTAGGCGATTAGGCCATCGCTCCATGAGCGGAGCAACAAATCAATACTTATCCTTCCCTTAGGCCGATGTCAGACTTTGCGAATCGCGCGATTCGCAAAGTCTGACATCGGCCTTATCGCCTACTCGCCTAATCGACTCCTCGCGTACTCGCCTAATCGCATTGGGCGTTTGCTGATATTCGGCAAGGTATGTTAGAAACAGCTTTTCCCCGCGACTTCTATCAATTGCAATGGCCGCCACGTCACGTCATGTTATTCAAATCGCACGACCTTCGTTCCCCGCTTCCCCCGAACTGGCTCTACAGCCCCCACTCACGGATTCCCCATTTTGCACTGATGTTATCACTATTGTTTCGCTAAGAGGGTGTAGTCGAGCAGCGCGCCTTTTCGCTGAAATCCCCTCCCCCCTCATCTCGCGTTGTACCCTTATTTTGCTACTTTACAGTTTTGAAATCCCAAAACGCCTCTTGCGGGACAAGCTGACGCGCTTACGCGCCAAACATCTCGCACTTAGTCGCCATGCGCGGAAAATGAAATCTGCGCTGTTCCGTCACGGTTGTCTAAATTCCGTACCATTCCGCCTCCGTTTTAACACCCATCTCGCAGTTTCTCTGCCTGCGGCAAGATGAGATGCGGGCGAAAGAAAATTGTCGCAACAGGCCAGGTCCTTATGTATAAGGCGCCGGTTTTCTCTTGCAAAGGCACTTGAAATGTGCGGGAAATCGAAATTCGGAGCAGAAGTTCGGTGACAGGAGACGAACTACAAACTTTCTTCTCGGGCATTCCACGTGAAATGGGTGGGTGAGTCCCGTTCCGTGGGTTGACGAACTACCAAAGCACAGGCAAATCTGTCATTCTTGTGCGTTGGAAAGTGCGTGACAAGAGCCGTAGTAACGAACCGATGAAGCCGCTAACCGCTGTTTTCTCTTGGCTCGTGAGCAAAGAGGATAGGGTGGAGTCGCTCCTACTTGCTCCAGGGCTTTTGCAGAATGGCTGTCCCCCCCCGCCTCTGCCTTTCGTACTTCTAGCACATCAGTATGGTCGCATGATTTCCCGTTTCTTCATCTGCGTTCTTCTT